TTATTGGTGTTTTTTTTCTATATCAAAATATTTTTTTCTATTGTATTTTGTCTATGATATTTAAAGTTTATATTTCTTTTATCTCTATAGATATCAATACCTAAAGCTCTCTTGGAAAGTCTTAAATATTTCATATGAAATTCTTAGTTTAGTTGCATCTCTTACTTATGTGTATTAAAAATCTCTTTTGGTGCAACCAACATATTTTTAATATAAATATAATATAATCATGTAAATTAGCATTTTGCAAGAATTGAACATTATATGTCTACTACTTATAAAGAAAGTTCATGTCTTCATTGATTCATTTCTTTCATTTATATTAATTTTTATCTTTTATAGCTTCTTCAAATAGATAAGACAAACTATTTTTTTATACTTAAAATAAATAATAGTATATTTAGGTAGCTAAATTTATTAAGAAATTTTCTTTATTTTATGATATATAAAAATATTTAATTAGTTTTTTTAATATAAAATATCTTAGATGTACTTGGATTCAAGATCTTTTCAATATTATGTGAAGGTTTGAGAATATTAAGCTTTACTTCAAAAATTGCAAGTGTAATTTGATTGTTCAATTCTTTGTAAATATCAATATCTTTCAACCTATGTATTTTATTAAATTTTATATTTTTCTTCATGATAATCTTACTTAAATTTAAAATTTTAATATTATTTCTTTATTTATTTTTATATTTTTTAGAATCCAAGAATATAAATTTCTTAGCCTTAAAATTCATCTCTAATAATTTTGCTTATTGAATAGAAACACATATCATAGACATTTATAAAAACTAGTATATCAACTTTTTTATGGAATAGAATTAGATAGAAGTAAGTTTAATTATTAATATCTTGTTGAAAATACTTTTAAAAGTCTTGTGGACTTGGATATGACTTTATACATAATTGTAGGTAATTGATAGGTTAAAAAATTTGGCCAAAAAGTTGACCACATGTTGCATGTGTTAGCTACTTACATTACAAGTTGGCCACATGTTCACATGTCAAAAACTTGTGCTACAAGTTGGACATACATCTTATAAGTTAGACACTTATCATATGGCATGTAGGACGTTGGAACATAGCTTCTTAATAAAGAGTGTATATGGAGGCAACTGTAAGGCCTTCTTTATTCTTGTCAATACATTTCTTGTTTCTAGTCTAATTTTAAGAGTTTATAGTCTTCTTGACTTTGGCAATAGCTATTCCAATTTCTTTTTGAATATACATATTTTCTCTTTTTCTTTATATTATTTGTCTTCTATGCATGACTTGTTTGTTTATTCACATCCTTCAAGTTCTTTGCCTTGACAACATATGATATGCATTTAAAAATTCTAAGTTTTAGTAATATACAAGTCTACAACTCCACATCTCTTTAAATGATTTGCATTTTTATAGTAGTAAATAGAAAAATATTTATAAAATTAGAAATATTTATAGCTTTAATTTAAAAGCTCTTTTCTAATTCAACATTGTTTAACATTTTTTGTGATTTTCCCAACAATGTACAGTTTAGCCTCCGTGCTATTCTATACTGTTGAAGAATTCCTAGAACAGTAAAATGATGGAATTGTTTTTTTTGAATTACTTTGAAACAGAATGACGTTTGTGTGAATAGTGCATTAGCGTCAATTCAATTAGACGAAAACTGTGTACATGCTGCAGGAGGCAAAAGAAAAAAGTAGAAGAAGGCCTGAAAGAGAAAAACGTAAAGCAAAAATAAAAAGGAGAAAGCATCCGACGAGGTTAGGTTCGGGTCAGGTTCGGTGCCAGGTCCGGTGCAAAACCTAACTCCCGCATTACTCGTCGTGAGCTCGCATTTCTCATCATCATTGCTCGTTCTCGTCTTCGTCTCCGTCTCGTACAGCAATCTGCTGCTGTGCTGCTCGATCTGCGTGTGTCCGATTGGCAGGTGCTACATCACATCCCTGCCCTTCATCTCTGCTAACCCATCGTGTTCTATTCCTTCGTTTCTCGTTCAGTCCAGTTTCAGCATTCTTCGTTCGGTCCTTGCATCTCGCATGACCGATTCATTGTCTTCGATTCATTAACGTGTTGTCGAATTGTCACGCAAAATGGCAATGCGAGCTGGCTCATATTCGTGTTAATTTCAGTGAGTTTTGGGGATCTTCGGGAGTTGTCTGTTCTGGGTCTCTTAAGCCGGAGTGTATCCGTGTTTGAAGTATGTAGGGTAAATTTATTGGCCTCCACGGATTTTTAAGGGTCTTGTTGCGTTTGGTATAATTTGTAAGTTGTAGGTGAATTTGATTGTGCTGAGAGGGACTCTTGTGACTTTTGTTCTCTTACGCGTTGTTGGCCTTGCAATGGTCTCGATCTCCCTTCGTTTTTTTGTCATGCAAAACGGTTTATGTCTTCGTGGCATTGATTGGTTGCAGTGTCTTCAAATTTTTCTTTATCTCTCTGGCCACTCTTGGTTGTGGTGATTTTTTTTTTCTTTTTCTTTTTTTTTCCCTCAAATCCATGGGGCTCTGAGTTTAGCATTCTGAGGTCTTATCTGATATGGCGCTTGTTTGGCATGTCTGGTGGGGCGAGCTTAGTACGGCCGCAAGTGGTAATCAACGAATATGGCGATGTTTCAGAAGTTGGGTGCATCCAGTAGGCTGCTTCGCAGTGTCTCGCCCCAGCTGACACAGACTCGTAATTTTGCAGGTAAATTGTGAATCCACACCTCACTACTTTCTACGAGGATCAAATTATGTGCAGGCCATTGTCAGCCCGTGGGAAATAGACTCTCAAGGTTTCAAAACCATCTATGGTTTCGGCACAGTTTTTAATTATTCTGGCTATCAGTCGCTAATTAATTCTGAAAGACAGGAAATGAATAATTTGTCACAGACGTTTTCTTTCTGCAAGGATGAAATCGCCGAAAATTCTTTGGCATAGAATTTAATAAAATGAATCCGCCACTATCGACAGGGCACAAAGCCTACGGATCGATGATTACGGCCAATGTAGGATTATTGATTTCATTCCAATGATGTCGTACGCAAAATGGCGATTCCTGCTGATCGCTTAAAACTGAAAAATTGAGTGTTGAATGGCAATATGATCGGTTCCTGTTAGTACCTGTTGACTGACACCAACGAATTTAAGAAACAGGCTTGATTGCTTACCCTGCAATTGAGCATGTACGTTTTAGTTGAATGCACCTTGGATGGGACATTGAAACGATTGGGAGATTACTTCGGCGCGTCAAAATCAAATGGTGACTTAGAGCTGCTCTTTTTGACAAAGATATGAACAATAAGCTTCTCCTTTTTTTATATTTATTTAAATTTTTGATTTTTTTTTGCAAGCTTCAAAGCGCCAGTCAATCATTCGTCTATGACCTACCATCGTAGCGCCTGAGTGGCGTAGTCGTGGCAGAAACTGAGTCAGGTTGCTTGAACATTTTCTCGCACTGAAACTTGTTTTGCGAATTAATTCTTTTCACGAAGAGGCCGTTACAAAACACCGTAAGCTGAAAGTACAGAAAATTTATTGATGGTTAGTTAGAAAATTTTCATCCGTGTTTTACCCTTTGTATGCCTGGCATAACACGCTGCAATTCTTGTCATTGACCCAGCTGACGCTCATGGATCGACGAAGGTGCCAATGTGGACTGCCCCTGGGAGCCCCTCCACATGGAAGGAAGAACATGTAAAGTCATACTTCTGTTCTCATTTTGGACGAAAACCTGTACCTGGCATGAGATCAGAGGAGATATATAGTCTAATTCGCAGGGGGAATTAACTTTGTGTCGTTGTTACTAGAAAACATCACTTGCTTCCTTGCTTTTAGCTGGCTTGTAAAAATTAACTTTTCTTGCTGTATGATTTTCCGTCCCGAGACCAACTTAAAGTGAATTCTAGTGTTGTCCGTCATTATCCTGACGCAGAGTATTAGCTGTATTGAAAATTTGGCTTTCGCTTTAGGTTATTGCAAGTTAAACTTTCTAATCAGGTTTACTGCAGACTAGACAATTTTTGCATGCATTTCAATGCAACTGACTGTGCGTTAGTTCAGTTTGTGTTTGTTTCTCTAGCAGGATGGGGTGCTCTATTCTATGGAGGTTACAAGTTTTTCACCAGCGGTTCCAAGAAAGTTGCAGCTGTCGCAGAACCCTGTCCAGAAGGCATGGAGAGGGTCAAAGTAGCAAAACACTAAATGCAGTCATTTATAAATAACGCACAAGCCGATATTGTTCTTTCCCATCCAACACAAGTGTGTCTCATTTAGATAAGGTGTGTTGGCATGGAGAGCATCCCAGCAGTTTGTGAAATTCAGGGTGTACAGCCTATTGTGAATTTGTATCTAGTGATTTAAGGAGCGCATTACAGTGTTGGACCCTAAAACCGCTTTTTTGGTTGTCACGGTACTCATTAACCGCAGTGAAATTATCATTCTTGGACTTGGTGCCTAAGTAAATTTTGTGAGATTAGCGCTTATTTAATAATGATATGAGGCTCCCTGATTTGTCAAAACATGCCTAGTTAAGGTGCAACTCCTGTCGTGATTCTGGATTGTTTACTGAGCAGATTGTCGTGTATGTTTGAGGTACTACCAACGATTGTATGTTCCAGTGCCAAATATCCATGAACTCTACCGACGGGGGTGATGAAATGACAGTATGGTTCACATTCTTGAAGGCCGTCTACATGTTCTGAAGCAGGATAGTTGAGTGGAGATGTGGGTTTGTGCAGACGATTCACAGCACAGGCGTCTACTGCCCAATTCATTTTTTGGAAACCTTCGTTGCAATAGGTCGACGCTGCGTCCCATTTAAATGGTCTCTTATTTATCCAACATTCAACAGTTGTAACTGTCTTCGAGGCTTTCGTCAGATCTTGACCGGGGTTGAGCTACATATCAGGCATGACGTGGTAGATGCTTAACTACTACACAGTCACACTGTCAAATGTGAGCATGGTAAGTCTTTTACATACGGTACGGGCAGCAAACGAATGCATTGATCGAGCCTTATGAGACTGTCATCTTTAATGAGAAAGTTTCATTTAATGAATAGTTGATCAACAATACCTATACGGGACTGCATGCTGTGCGAGGCACCCTGTCTCAGCGATTGCCTAGACAAACCATGCGGGCACTATACTCTCGTCTGGCATCTAAGCTAAACGGTCTGTGCATAGTCAGAGTCCAAAAAATATTTTAAATGATCTATACGGTTGCTACAAATGTCCTTGCAATTGAACCCTGCTCTTACGCAAGCAGCCATACGAAACAAACGGGCAATTGGCGAGGAATACCACGATTGATGTCAGGTCTTCTGCTGTACAGTGTTCAACTTGTGTCTTATGCCTGAATTGGAAGCTTACCGTTCAGTTGTGAATCATCAGCTATGGTTCCACTCCTCTATTTTCTTCTTCATCCTTTCAATGCTGGCCTCCACTGCGAACTCCTCTACTATGTGGTCATCCAAGGTTTTAAAAGGATACCAATTCTTGTTGGCTTTTGTATACTATACAATGGAATCAAACAGTTCTCAGCCCGATGCAGATCGTTATCCTTGCAGTTGTATGAGTTGCTCGCCGACACCATATAAGTCATTTTTTTTCGTTTTTTCTTTTTAAATTCAACGTTACAAGGCAGCTATCGATCCCAACTCTCCAGCTTCGGAGTAGTACTCATCACAATTCCACCTTCGACTTGCCTGACTTACACAAACTTGATCCTGCACCAAAATCAAAACCTCAGATTACACACATTACAGTACCAGCTACGAAAAATTCCCAAAAAACCAGTCACGGAATGGAAATCTTATGGTGGCAACGAGGAGGCCACTTACCATGATTGACGAGCGAACCTTTCCCCAAGCTTTGCCTGCCTTGAATGAATCCCATCTCTACCACACTTTGAAGGTCTCCGTTCCCACAAACCTGAGCAGCAAATAAATTTGCGAAAAACACGGATGTTAGTTTCTACGTCATGTTCTGTTTATCAAATTGCCACGGTTCCAGCCAGCTGCAAAACTAGCAGAAAGTCAGTTTAGCTTGGGGGAATCAATGTCAGTACCTGAGACAGAGGATCGCCAAAATCATCGCCAGAAACCAGAGACCCCATCGTCGGCACACTCATGGAGCGCCGCAGGTATGAATCGCAAACACTCTCAACACTCCGCATGTCCAAACCGCACCCCGGCGACATGCGCATGGGGTGATGGACTTGTGCGTGGTGCATCTCCACATACCCGCTCAGCGGATCAGGACCCACCAATGTCGTCTCCGGAGACCGCAGCTGTAGCAAGTCTTTCCCTAGGACGTCGAAGCCATAGTCAAGCCGGGGATTAACAGCCGCCAGCTTCATAGACAGAAACTCAATCTGACGCTGGAGCGACTGCACGTAGTTGATGATCTCGTCCAACATGACGGCTTTCCCCGTCACCTTGCTGCAGCCCGGCACAAGGTCTTGCAAGAACTTCATGCGCTCGCTAATCTTTTCTCTTCGAACCCGTTCCGCAAGGCTGTGGCTATCAGTGGCTTGGCCTCGTCGAGCGCGGACGTGAATATAGTCTTGCTTGGGGAGATTCTGGACAGACTTCGAAGAAGCCTTCAGAGAGCTGGGGCCGACAGAGTCGCCGGAATTCTCACTGGCACTGCGCTCTGCCTTGACCGGTCCTGAGCGCTGCCGCTTCAAAGAGGTTTGCTCGTTAGCTTCCATCGATTTGCTATCCTTTCCATCCGAGGCAAAGGATGATGTCGAGGTTTTCCCTTTCCCGTCCGCGGCTGCAGAGCCTTTACGTTTCCGTTGGGGTGCACCGCTGCGATTAGATAGCGGCTCGGTTTGCTGCGACCCCGAGGAGTTCTCCTGCGAAACTCCGTCGCTGGACTCGTTTACGGCCGCCGCTCTAGCGCCCTGTGCTCCCTCAATGGCTTCCATCATGGCTTCTGACTTGGGATCAACTTGATCACCTTTGGGTTTCATCTCTTCCTCAACAAACTGCCTGGTGTCCGAGTTGGTACCTAGGCTCCCAAGCTGATTGAGGCTAGAGCTGCGAGAAATTTTGCTCTCATTCTCTAGGGTGTCTCGGAATGTGTCGTAGGATCCATATGTTTGAGGTCGCTGCGCATAGTTCGATGTACCAAAGGTTGAGTACTTGGCTGCTCGCTCTGCGAAACTAGGGTCGTGAGACAGTTGCTGCAGAGAATGCTGCGTGCTGGCTTCTTGAAGCACCATATCGCCTTTGGTGGGATCCATGGTGATGCCAAGGGGGTAACCCATTGCCCTGAGCTTGTCCATGGAATTGCTAAAAATCCACTAGCACAACCTTGGAATGATAAACTTTGATACGCTTTCTCAGACGTCCTCAACGCTACCTCTCCTCTTGATGAAATAGAATCCTGACAAAGAAACAAATACACGGTATCAGTTATGAGAAGATTATTGAACGCAGTTGGGCGCTTGGTAAGGACATGATACTTGTGTCGCTGCTGGTCAATTTCATACCCGAATGCAGTGCCACTGGTATCCAATTAAAAACCAACTGAAATAAACAGTGTGGACGCACACTGATACTTTGGATCATGAACAATTGCTACGTAAGCTTCCTGGCCAAATGTCGCAAGGAAAGATCTTTAACGAAGCTCATTCAATCTCTCACGCTACAAACTCTGATTGATTCATATATGACAAAGGTATAGCTCGTCAGCGTCCTGAAGCTAAGAATAATGATCGCTCACAACCCTGATTAGTCATCGCCAGGAATAGTACCACTGTTGATTCCGGGGCACATTTGAAAATACTCCTGACCAGGTGCGCCGTTAGGCTGGCTGTTGTTGCAGAAAGCGTAGGAAAATGACTAATAAAACCGAAGAGGAAAAAATAAACGCGAGAATAGAAATGTCAAAGAAAAACAAAAAACAAAAAAAAGACGACAAAACAAAGCAAAACGTGGAAAGGAGGGAAGAAAGACGTAACTAGGACCTGAAGAAAGCGTAAAAAGGAAGTTCCGACACTAGATCTTCAATATCAGAGATATTATGTACGGTGAAAATGGTTTGGGTAAAGGATGTTGCACACAATGCACGGCCTCTACAGATCAGAATCCAAGCAATTTATGAGATGAAATCGGAGTACGTGACTGAGAAGCTCGTAACAAGGAAGCTAGCGCCGACCTGTTTGGACCAAACATCTGCAGGCAGCTGCAACACACTGGTGGGACTGTACTTCAACGCTAAGAGCTGTGGCTCAAGATGAAAATGACGGTACTACCCAAGAGACTTGATCCGAAAGCAAACCCCTGGCTTGAGTAACAATGTGCTCACCAAACCAATGCGCTCATTTACTCGCCTTGGAAAGCGGGAAATGGTCAGATTGAATAGCACTCATTTAGTTCTACTGCATTTTGGTCATAAACTGTTAGGTGGGAAGAATTTAATCCATAAAAGAAATAAGTCTTCAGAGAGAGAAGGAAAAAAATTGGGAGGGAGACGAACGAAAAAGAAAGAAAGGAAAAAAAAAAAAAAAAAAAAAAAAAAAAAGAGAGAGAGAGAGAGAGAGAGAGAGAAGAAGGAGGAGGAGGAGGTTGACTGGATGGAGATAGCTTGCAGACTCTGTCAATGAGTGCGATCGGTGCAATCTAAAGAAGTTTAGCTAGACAGCGATCAAGCTCTGAGTCGACGTTTGACAGACCTGCCTGGTGCGACAGCGGTGGCTAGACCACGGTTCACCCCACAGCTGTGTGCATGTGTGTCTGGGATGGGGGAGAGACGAGGGGGGTTTTGTCTGTTCGCCACAGAAACTACAACCGGGACCTCATCAACACCATACATCAATGAGCAGGAAGAACAGAATATTAGATTTAATCAATGGGACTGAGGACTGACATCATCCCTAATCACCGACGGTGACATTGTCTCTCAAAGGAATGAATAAATGGTTCTGGAAAGGGGGGTGAGACGACTAAATGGTGGTCTTCCGGCAGTACTACCGCGACCGGCAATCACTGAAAGTGTTGGTTGCGAGCAAGAAACGGCTTCTTGAGTGTCATGAAATGTCTGAGCAGAGACAGACATGAATGAGAGGCGAGTACAGGCCAATAATTGCGATTGGTTACAGAGGAATGCAATTCGGTCCATTGCACAGTACTCATGGCTGATGGTTTATCCTTTCTTTCTCCCCCCCCCTTCGGTGAGTGGGTGCCAGATTCCATCACTCCCTTTTCCATGTGCACTTCTCTGTACTCGGCTTCGCACCTCTTCCTCCCTCGATGACATCAAACACAACTCACTCTTCCACACACACACACACACACACACAAACACACACACACCAATATAATTTGATAAAGACACTCAAGCTGACTACCCGATGGCCACCTTCATTACCTTGAATCCGTTCCAGCATCTCTCGCTTGTGGGCAGCTAAATACACCGGCGTGGATGATAGCCCGTCTTTTGGAAACTAGCACCAGCTTGAACTACAAGACTCCTGGAGCTTGATTGAGTTACTTCCAACTACCACAGACTGGAGCTCTCGAGCACGATGGTGCCAGTGCTCACCCCTCCGCCTTCTCTTGTCCTCCCTCTCGATTGATCGGAGGCCACTCTCAACACACTTGCAAGTTTATTGGGGTACTGAATGACGTATAAGTGCAGGAGCCAAGGATCATCAATGCCCGATATCCAGCTCGGTTGCCACCTAGCTACCGATCCTACGCAAAAGCAAATTTAACCGACGACATGCCTTCCAAACTCCACTGAGGCGGTTGACTGTGATCCAGCAGTCTGGGACGAGCAGACATTAATCGGTCCGAGCAAGACCTTGATGATGGTCATCATAAAACCTGACGAACAGAACGGTAATACTCGGGGGACAACAACACCACCACCACCCACACGGACGTCGATCAACTTGACAGACACGGCGGGCGGGGTGCGGAGGCTCTTTTCCAAATCGATGGTTGGTTGCTCAGTGGAGGCGATCGGAGCGCACTGGAGCGTGCGATGCGGCCATATCTCTGGCAACAAAACCAGTCAAGGGTTATATTTGCTGCTCCCTGCACCTCCTTCGCAGATTCCCCCGGCCCTAATCACCCTACCCGCTCGCTACACCTCCCCTCCCCTCCCTCGCTCTCTCGCTCCTTCCTGCTCCTCCCCTTCGGAAAAGCCCCTTGCAAAATTAACCCCACTGCCAAAAAGCATCCTTTGAGGAGTGGCACGCTCCCATTTCACCGCGGAGATCCTGGACTCATCTTTCCCCCTTCTTCCTTCTCTTTCTGTCCGTCTATCCATCTATCTATTTCGCTTTCTTCGGCAACAAACTAACCAACACACAAACATAAAACTCTGTATGTATGTATGTATGTATGTATGTATGTACATTTATCTATCAATATTTTAGTGATACTCTCTGAGATTTTTTTTTATATTTATTTTCCTTTTTTCCTGTTCTCCTTTTTCTTTCATGGTTATCTAGCCATTTTGATGGCAAGTTTGATGTCTAGTTGCAGCATCCAAGCCACTGTTACTTTATTGTAGCTACTGTTGGTGGTCCTTTTTGGTTCCTTTTCACACATGAGCTCAGGCTGATGTATGCTATGGTGTGAAATTATGTTTAAATAAAAATGGTGTTTTGTCTTCTTGCTATTGTGTGTGTGTTTGTGGGGAGGATGATGGCCAAGTAGTGACCCATTTTGTGCAGCAATGCCAGGTCTTTGTGCATCCCCATGACCAGGATCTGGGCCCATGGGTGAGAGCCTCCAGAGACCACTACCTAACACTTGCACCCTGGGCTCAAAATTAGGCCCAACCAAACAGAGCTTTACACAATTAAAGACAGGGGACAGGGTTCAAAGCCCATGACCACTGATCCCCCTTTTTTGGAGCCAATGTGAATTGGTTTGTTGCATTCCATTTGCCCATGCAGTCATTCCATGTCCCTTTAATTCTCTATTTATAACATTTTCTTTTCAAATAAGCAAAATTTCCATGACTTGCATATCTCAGTGGGTGATTCTTTTGTTGTGTCTGTTGAGATAGTCCTGTTTAGTATTGTTTGTATGTTTTTGTTTTTGTTTATGTTTTTTTATCCATTGCCTTTTTTCTTTGCTTCTCTGTGTGAATGTGAATGTGTGATGTGGCATGCTTGTGTGCTGCCACCCACTATTTCCATATCACATGTGCCTTGGACAATAGCATCTTCCTTTGCAAGTATAGTCTATTGTTATCTTCAAAACGTTTTCAAATTGTTTTTTAATTCAAAAATACTAATTGTAATAAAAATAACTATCAGATCATGCTTCCTTTACTGTTCCCAGCAGACTGAAAAGGATAACTTTGTTCTCAATTCAAAGCCTTACATTCAAACTCAGCACAAGTCTCTATTTTTTATTTTTTTTATTTTTTTTTGGATATACATGTATTCTTTGATATTTGCAATACTTTTTAAACACAAACTTATGCGCATGTATCAAATTGCACAGAAAAATCTAGAGTTCGAACATTATTGAATGTCCAAAGGTGGAAAATAAGTAAATCATCAGCAGCTGCAACATTGCCAGTGTGGATGACTCAAATGCAGTGCTCAGCAATCCTTAAGCACAAAGAGATGGTTATCAAAAGGAATTTATCAGTTCACAAGTGAAGAAAGCATGCGTTCTTTCTTGCTTAATATCTGTTTTTTTTTTTTTACTATCACAACCAATTTGACTTGAAAATAGTCCTTGTTAATTAGTTATGCAGTCATTTTCAGTTTCATTTTGAAGGTGGTCAACATATGTGATAATCAGAATCTCCTTAAAACTTTGTGGATTAAGCAATGATGGTCATGTGATATAGAAAGTTAGATTCATTTTCATGTAAGGTAACTCACATAGGAAACCACAGTTAAAACATGCACTAAATTATAACATTTATCATATTTAATCCATATGCATTCAAATAGTCGGATGTCTAGTGTGTATACCTTCAACGCCTAATGGAAGAGTAAATTTACAGTCTTATTTTGGTTCACACCCTGTAAATAATAGTAAATTAACTTTGAAATTTGGTCATTTTGAATATTAAATTGTGGAGTATATAATAAAAGTTTGTACATTATTTGTACATCAATTGCTAAAATATTTCCATACAAGAGATTATTAATTTGTGTTAATTAATTTAGTTGTATTCAATAATTATCATATAATTACATATCTCAAAGTAAGGAACAAATTAGAAATTAAAAGTATTATTATTAGTTTTTTTAAAATAAAAATAAAATAATGATAATGTTTATGAAAATATGTGATATGCAGAGTTAATGTTTTTTGTTTTTTTTTGTTTTTTGTTTTTTTTGTTTTGTTTTTTGTAGTTGCTAAGAAGATTGCTAGATTTTTGCAAAAATTTATAACTTTGGTTTACATTACAGAAACAACTTTGATAAGCATCAAATTTATTTAGTGACTTGTAAAGAATTACTGAGATTTCAAAATATTAATGGTACTGAATTGTAATTTTTGCTTTGCTAATCACATCTTAACTTGGATATGTTTAAAACAACTGTACCTGTAAATATATATATATATATATATATATATACAAATCATATTTCATACAACAAATCTTCATGTTGTTTTATTTATTATTTGAGGAGTATCAATTCTTTAAAAAGAAGTGATACTGAGAACTAACTTTGGAACTTTTAATAAAAATGCTGTACTTAAAAATATGAATTTTCGTATGTTATCCCGATTTTGATAACATGTTTAATATAATACTTTCTCTTTTTAAACCCACTATTAAAAATTATATTTAGTATTGCTTTGATTGTACGTGGTAATCATGAATTGTTATGGATATAATAGTGCAGCTTCAAATATTGGCAATATTGGTTTTGTTACACATGTTTTTATTAACATACTGTTCTGTGAAATCGTATTCATATTATTAGTATAATAATATCCAGTATGATTCCAAAAATTTCCCAACCTAACCAAGATCAATCTTATGTGATGACATCTTCTCATAAAATACCAAAATCAATTGTTAATATCCCATGGTTCACTTATTTCCAAATCTTTTCAAAGAATGTTTGTATATAATATATTTTTTAAATGGATCACAAGGCTTAAAAATATTACATACAATTTCTTTGACTTATATAATATTTTTATATGTGAGTCATATATATATAAAACAAAAAAAGATTAAAATTTCAAAAAATCCCTTTTAACACTTTGATCAATATTTGCACAACAACTTTCAATTAAAATATATATATATATATATATATATATATATACCATGTCAATGAATTACACATTGCTGTGCAACACGATTTGAGAAAACTGAGTAGGTAATACCTGGGTCTTTGATTTATTGACATGGAATTTCTACTGCAAATTTGAAGGTAAACAACCATCTTATTCATCTAATTTGGGACACACACTTTTGTTCTGAGGTACAAGAATTTATTAGGTCATTAGACCAATCATGAGTTGATAATAGTTCAGTAATACAACTACAAAG